AGCCTCGTCACTACTTCGCCGGGGTTAGGCCAGGCACTTACCAGCACATGGGGTCGGTTGTGCTGATGCTACACTCTGTGCATCTTTTTGCACAGATCCAGGAGCAGCTTTTGGACAGCAGCAGTAGGATTGCCCGGGAGCTGTCTTCAGTCCAGGGACTCACGAGGTAGCCTAGCTGGCGTTCGCAGGCCGAAGTCCCTTCTATGTTTTAGTTTGTTTTCTTTGTTTCGAGACAAACAGTATGTAATATCATTTCAGACTTGTTTTTAGTACTCTATAGCAGTCCGTGAGCTAGTGACACCAGACTCTGGGTAGAAATGTGTTTCAACTTTCGCAAATTTTATTTCAGTTATATAAGTTTAAAGTCTTCCGCTTTAATTAAAATGTCCCGTTTATTTTATATTGTTAAAACGTCATCAGCGAAAAGTTTTGAATATTTGGCTTGCCTAGCTCCGACAGTAGACGCCATCACGACTCCCGATGGTGGGAAATCCGGGTCGTGACAGAAATTGTATAAGTCTTTCATCGGCTAGGGATTTTTCTTTCCAGAACAAATACAAACACACTTGACATCACAAATTAAAGAGTCTAGCCCATCCCACAGATGTTTGAGTTTTGTAAAGTACCCTGCTATGTCACTGGTTCCCCGTATTAAACTGGATAACTCGTTGCGCATGCGATATAATTTTGATCTATTTGACCTTCCAAACCTATGCTCCAGACTGGTCCATAGATCTTTTGTAGATTTGGAATATATGACACTATTCTCGATGTCCTTGGATAGTGAATTTAGTAGCCATGAGGTCACCATATCATTACATTTTGTCCATGGCCGATACTTCTTGAAGGTGAAAGCAGGAAGAGGTTATGTTCCATCAATGAATCCTAAGTTGTTCTTTACTAAGAGAGCAATCAAAACTGATCTCCTCCAGCCTTGAAAGCCTGGAGGAAGTAGGGGTGATTTGGATTGAAGGTGACTCCATTAGCATATGAAGATTGGGCAGTGATTTCTATTATTCCAGTCAGGATGAATGAAATTATATGACAGAGAAAAAGGAAGAAGAGCTTGATTCTCTCAGAAACGAGGTACTTCTCTGATACCATGCAAGAATGCAAAGAGAAAAAAGAAATTGTAAAAATTTTCTGTGTATTCACTATGTATAGAGACAATGTATATATAAAGTTATTTTGTAAAGAGAAAAAAATAGAAAAATAAATAAACTATTTTTACAGTTGTCTAAATCCTATTTGCTATCAAATACTAGCAAAAATAACTGAAGAATATTCTCCTATGCTATTTATACGTTCCATATGTGTGAGACGTAAGATTGGGATCCAATGTTATGAAGTTGTGAAAGCTGCTCATCTGAATGACTCTTATTTAATTCATCATAATTTTGTTCAAGCATCTTGATTAACCCATGAGTCATTGGAGTCTTTGACCTAGAAGTATCCGAAACACTTTTCATTTGATTGAAAACCTAGAGACTTCTTTCAATCTTCATCTTCATGAGAGACGACAATATCGAGCATTTATGATTTCTTCTCAACACTTAATCACTACAGTTGTCAAAAACTGTATCCACCTTAGATATTTGCATAACGTTCCTTTTCTTCTGCTGCATGTAATACAACTTTTATACTTTAGAACAAAATGTATGTGTTATTTTATATTCATGAATTTAAGAATTCAAATTCATAAACTGTGAATAAGTTTTTTCTTACAAAAAATATATTTACTACTACTTTAAAGTCAATTATCGTTAGCACTATTGCAATGCATAAGTTAGAAAAGCTCTTGTACACTATATTTGGTAAAGGCGTCTTGCATAAAATGATACATATATATGTCACGTCCTTAGTCTCAAACTAAACGCACGTGCGGCACTTGACAACTTACTCACGATCTTGCACAACTTGCTCACGATCTTGCTATGCCAAGTCAGCCTTACTATACTCAAGATCAGTAAGGAATGTTAGAACACAGGAGAATTGCCAAAGGAAGCTTTTGTATTAGAGAGAGGTTGAGTCTCTTATTATTTACAAGTAAGTCCCTTATCTAGAATTTTCTACATAGCTAGAATCTTCGAAGGACTTTCCTAACAATTCCATAGGGTTCTAAGGTCTTCCATGAAAAATCTCCATGCTCTATAACCTTTTTATATGAGCTAGTCTATTTCATAGGTAAGATTTCCCATATGGTAAAAATATATGCCAAATAACACCTACGTGATATGATAATATGGCGAGTCATGACATATAGCTACAAATTCAAGACGATTTTCATTTTACTCTTTTTATCTTTTTATCTTTAACAACTTTAATTCTTAGAAAAGAGAGAGAGAGAGAATTGGTCAAAAGTTTCTTTTATTTTCTCATACCCAACTTATAACATGTAAAACAAAATAGTTCTGTCATCCCTAATTGGGTTTTTTTCTCACAATTCACATTCTCCGTGGAATTTGTGAGGAAATAAGTTTTTTTTTGTTTTTTTCCTCACAATTATGAAGCAGCGAGTAATGACTAAATAAAAGAAGTTGTGGCTTAATCTAAAACGAGAAGGACAGAGCATTATTAGGAGACAAAGGTATTGAATAGCGTACACGTGAGATGACTTTAATCCGCAAGAATTTGAGTCTTGAAATTTGTGGCCCAATTAAACAGAGTCGGCTACTTGTCATTTTCGTAGAAATGGCGTGGGTAATTACTTTTTAAAGTGGTATTTACTTTTTATCCAGTATTTTTAATGCTGAGCAAAAATAGTCACTACTCTATTAAAAATAAGATGAAAAGACGAAGTTACCCTTTCTTCTATCTCTTTTCCATCCCAAACCCTCTATCAAAATTTCAAAACCCTTTCTCCTGATCAAAATTTCCCAAACTCGTTACTTATCTTCCCCATGCAGTAAGTTCTTCCCCAACTTCATCCCACTTCCTAAACCGAAAGGCAAACCACTTCCTCGTTGCAGACCACTTCTCCAACTTTATTTCTTTTTCTTTTTCTTTTGGTTGGTTAGGTTCTTGTTGTCTTTTAGGCTTTGGGTTTTAATTAATCTGATAGTTATTATCTGTTATATGTCGTGGTTTTGACTATACTGTTTCCATTTAGTTGATGGGACCCTTTACCATTTTATGGAATTGAATTTTGATAATTGTCTGAAGGACATGTAGTCCTGAAGTCCTAAAGTTAAATTCAAAAGTTAAGGACATGGTCCTGAACTTAGAGTTTCAAGTTCAAAAGTTAAGGAAATGTAGTCCTGAAGTCCTAAAGTTAAGTTCAATAGTTAAGGACACAAGTTCAAAAGTTAAGGACGGGCAGTCTTTAACTTACAGTTACAAGTTCTAAAGTTAAGACATGCAGTCCTTAACTTATAGTTACAAATTCAAAAGTTAAGGACAGGCAGTCCTTAACTTACAGTTACAAGTTCAAAAGTTAAGGACAATAGGTCCTTAACTTTGATTTCCAAGTTCAAAAGTTAAGGACAGACAGTCCTTAACTTATAGTTACACGTTCAAAAGTTAAGGACAAGCAGTCCTTAACTTACAGTTACAAGTTCAAAACTTAAGGACAATAGGTCCTTAACTTTGACTCACAAGTTCAAAAGTTAAGGACGCTTGGTCTTAAAGTTTGAGTTCCAAGTTCAATAGTTAAGGGCATGTAGCCTTGAAGTCCTGAATTAGAGTTCCAAGTTCAAAAGTTAAGGACATGTAGTCCTGAAGTCCTCAACTTAGAGTTCCAAGTTCAAAAGTTAAGGACATGTAGTCCTGAAGTCCTGAAGTTAAGGACATGAGTAGAAGGGTATTTTCGTTCGGAAAGTTAAAGTTTATTAAAGCAGTGGCTAAAGACTAAAGACATTTTAAGCGGTGGCTTAAAAGTAAATACATGTGTTATTAGTGGCCAACCGTACACTTCCCCCAATTCGTGATAATTCATTTCATATAATGTTTTATTGAGCAAGTTCCTATCAATTTTATTTTACTTAAAAGCAACTCAAAAGAGGGGAAGAAAAGAAAAGGAGAGAATCCCCAAAAGAGTAGTACATGAGTTTAAACGATTTTGTTGTTAGTTTTGAGCTTTCTCACATGTTAATCAAGAAAGAGACATGTTGCAAGCACACCACCAAAAGAAACTTTTGTGATTATTCATAACTTAGCTAGCGTTTGGCTATAGATTCCAAATTTATTTTGAAAATTTTGATTTGGGTGAAGTTTGGTTTGAAGATAAAAATATGTTTGGACATACGTTTTCAAAACATATTTTCCAACTTTATTTTGAAAAAACATGTATATAATTTCCAAGTTTTGGGATTTTGGCCTAAAATCAACTCAATAGCTGATTTTGGGATTTGAGATTTGGGATTTGGCCAAAATATGGGCAAAATTTATGGCCAAACATGAATTTTGAAAATAAATCCCAAATTTATTTTGGCAAAACTCATGGCCAAACGGGGCCTTAAACTCTGTTTGGCTAAACTTCTTCAAAGCCAAAAGTTTTTCTTTTTCAAAAAGAAATTTTTTTTTCAAAGTTGAAGTGTTTGGTCAAGTTTTTAGAAAAAAAAAGTATTTTTGAGTAGAAACAGAAGCAGTTTATGGAGAAACAGAAAAAAGTAATTTCTCCCCAAAATCACTTTTGAAAAAAATATATTTAGAAGCATTTTTTAAAAACTTGGCCAAACACTAATTATCGCTCAGAAGTATTTTTAAAATTTATTAGCTAAATACAAACTAATTCTCACTAAAAAAAATTTAAAAAAAAAAGTACTTTTTAAAATAAATTGATTTTTAAGCTTACCAAACATGCTATTAGATTTAATTCAAAAAGGTGTTAAGACCTTTTCCTCGTTCCATCTGAAATCCAACTAAATGAAGTCATTTTTCGACCTCTTCGATCCCTCATTCCATCTGAATTAATCCAACTAGAGTCATTCGGTTAATTCTATTTCATTTAGCTGATGGTGGAGCTTGGAGAAGTTCTGGGGAAACGGACGCAATGTGATCAGTGACGGCGAACTTGGTTAGGGAGGTAGCGCGGGATGTGCTCGGGGTAGCCAAGGGCTATTCAGGCAGACATCAAGGTGACTGGTGGTGGAACGATGTAGTCCAAGGAAAAGTGGAGGCGAAGAAGGCGGCGTTTGCTAAGTTGGCAGGGAGCTCAAGCGAGGAAGAAAGAAGAGTCAACAGGGAGTACTACAAGGTGGCGAGGAAGGAAGCGAAGCTGGCGGTCACGGAAGCAAAAAATGCGGCGTTTGGTCGCATGTACGAGGAATTGGGGGAGAAAGGCGGGGACAGGAAGTTATTCAGGTTGGCTAAAGTGAGGGAGAGGAAGGCGCGGGATCTAGACCAAGTTAGGTGCATCAAGGACGAGGATGGTAGAGTTCTGATGGGGGAGTCTCAAGTCAAGCAGAGGTGGCAGGCGTACTTTCGAGACCTGCTTAATAAGGAGGGGGATCGAGACGTAGAGCTAGGGGAGTTAGGGAATTCAGAGTGTCATAGAGACCTTGAGTACTGCAGGCGCATTAGGGTGGAGGAGGTCGTGGGGGCTTTGCATAGGATGAGTAGGGGTCGAGCGACCGGGCCAGACGAAATCCCGGTGGAGTTCTGGAAATGCATAGGTAGGCCAGGAGTAGAGTGGTTGTCCAGGTTGTTCAATGTGATCTTCAGGACTAAGAGGATGCCGGAGGAGTGGAGGTGGAGTACAGTGGTGACGTGTATAAGAACAAAGGGGATATCCAGTGTTGTAACAACTATAGGGGTATCAAATTACTAAGCCACACCATGAAAGTCTGGGAGCGGGTGGTTGAGGCGAGGGTGAGGGATATGACGTCTATATCGTGAACCAGTTCGGTTTCATGCCGGGCCGCTCCACTACAGAAGCTATCCACCTTGTTAGGAGATTGGTGGAACACTTCAGGGATAAGAAGAAGGACCTGCACATGGTGTTTATCGACTTGGAGAAGGCGTACGACAAGGTCCCAAGGGAGGTGCTATGGAGGTGTCTGTAGGCGAAGAGCATGCCGGAAGCCTACATCAGAGTGATCAAGGACATGTACGATGGAGCTAAGACTAGGGTTAGGACGGTGGGTGGAGACTCAGACCATTTCCCGGTGGTAATGGGGCTTCATCAAGGATCTGCACTTAGCCCTCTCTTATTTGCTTTGGTGATGGATGCTATAACACGCCATATTCAAGGGGATGTGCCATGGTGTATGCTATTTGCTAATGACATAGTCCTGATAGACGAGACGAGGGTCGGTGTTAACGAGAGGTTGGAGGTTTGGAGGCAGACTCTCGAGTCCAAGGGTTTCAAACTAAGCAGGGCTAAGACAGAGTACCTGTAGTGCAAGTTTAGCGCCGAGCCGAGCGAAGTAGGCAGGGACGTCAAGCTTGGATCTCAGGTCATCGCCAAGAGGGACAGTTTCAGATATCTTGGGTCGGTGATTCAGGGGGACGGAGAGATCGACGGGGATGTCACTCACCGTATAGGGGCGGGGTGGTCGAAATGGAGGCTTGCATCAAGAGTCTTGTGTGACAAGAAAGTGCCACAGAAACTCAAGGGGAAGTTTTATAGAGCTGTGGTTAGACCTGCCATGTTGTATGGGGATGAGTGCTGGCCGGTGAAGAACTCCCATGTCCAGAGAATGAAGGTTGCGGAGATGAGGATGCTCAGGTGGATCCGCGGGCTCACCAGGTTAGATAAGATTAGGAATGAAGTTATTCGGGAGAAGGTGGGGGTGGCCCCAGTAGATGAGAAGATGCGGGAAGCGAGGCTCAGGTGGTACGGGCATGTGCGGAGGAGAAGCCCCGATGCCCCGGTGAGGAGTTGTGAGCGGCTGGCGGTGGTTGGCGCGAGTCGAGGCAGAGGGAGGCCCAAGAGGTATTGGGGAGAGGTGATTAGGCAGGACATGGCTAGAATGCGGATTTCCGAGGACATGGCCCTTGATAGGAAAGTCTGGAGGTCTAGTATCAGGATTGCAGGATAGGGGCGTCTAGAATTTTTCGTACTTCTGTCCCGGGGCCGGGGGGGGGGGGGGGGGGGGATTTGGTAGGGCTCTCCATAGATGATCTGTGCATTGTATTGTGCCCCCTTATGGTAGTTACTGGTCGATATATTTGCATGCCATTTTATTTATGGTTTATGTTTAGATAATTATTTATGTGATTTCTGCTGGAGTTACTAATGCTCTTTTGCTTTTTGTTTTTTGTTTTTGTTTTCCTTTTCCTTTTCCTGAGCCGAGGGTCGATTGGAAACAGCCTCTCTGCCCTTTCGGGTAGGGGTAAGGCCTGTGTACGTATTACCCTCCCCAGACCCCACCTTGTGAAACTATACTGGGTAGTTGTTGTTGTTGTTGTTGTCATAGTTTCCTTCTTTACAATCAAATTGCTCTTAGTGAAGTCATTTATGAAAAGTAACATGTAGTTTCGATGATTTTTATTGCATTAAAGTTACTAAATTATTTTTTGTAACGCAAAATTATCTTATTTTGCTCAAATATCATAGATAGCCACTAAATTATTTTCTGTAACAAAAAAAAAAATTTATTTAACTTTACCTAAGAATCACAGCAAGTCATTACATAATTTTTTTGTATAAGCTTAATTTAAGTACTTTAGTACAATAAAGTAAAAAAAGAATAATCATCTACGAAATCAACCCACGTCATTGTTACAAATACATTACTGCGAAAATGAAAAGAACTATACTTTTTTATTTTTTAATAAGAACAATTAGCATAATTACTCTACTCGAAAGACCATAAATTAGAATAATTGATGCGTCGATTCAATGTAAGCTAGAATTTTCAGGAGTATTTTGGAAAATTTCATCTCTAAGCAGAAAAGCTACTTTCAAGGTTTCACTTCTGTATCTTGTTAGATTCATATTTAGCCTGTTTTACTTTATTTAAAAAATTAGTAAGAAATTAAAATACGCAATTTCATAACCTAAACAACCTTACTTCTTCTCTTTGCACTTTTGGCCACTGGCAATTACTTGACACACATGCATCTCAATTTCTGCCGACATTGCTGCAATGATATAGGGATGACTATTTGCTACAGGACAGATATCTTATTTTTGTCTCAGACAAATACAAATTCAGGAAAAAAAATAATACTTCATATAATATTTAAAAAGATATAAAAAGGAAAACTAAAAAGAACTACGAAGGTAGGGGCAAAATGATACTTTTTATTATTCACTGAGAATTGGGATGAGATGGATAGAATTCCTTCATCCTTAATTAAATGTCTCGTGTTCAAGTAGTGGACTAAAAAAATTTGATAGAAAAATTTTGTACCTTTAAAAAGTATTATATGGCGTGAATCCTAATTAATATAATACTCGACTAGATAAAAAGGAAAAAGATATTTTTTATTTTTTTCTTCTTTTTATTCCCTCCCATTTAGGAGGATCTATAGTGTTTTCCTCACTTCCTCTTCAATGTGATTCGAAATCAGAATCTAACAATCGTGGTTAGAGATACTTTATTAACTAAGCAAGCTTCACTTGTCATTGAGGTGCGCAGATCTAAGTTTTGGGCCAAGACAAAATAGTGTCCAAGATTTCCGGCATAAGCTTTATCCACCACATGAATGAGAAAAAAACAAGAAGAAAGTAGTAAAAAATTAGATGAGGCTGAGGCTGAAACCCGGCCCACAATCTTAAAGTCTAGGCCCTGATGTCTGGCGAAACTTCAAGAAAGCCCAAAAACAGGCCATGATCTTTGTTTCATGGATTAGGTCAGCTACATTTTCCTAGCAATCCTATTTTGCCTCCCTTTTGTGGGGTATTTTCCTGATTCATGGACCCACACCAACCCCCTTTAAAGTTTTGACTAGCTTCCAAAGAGAAAATAAAATGTTTGTAATATATGGACATTTTTCTTTAAGAAAAAATTTCTATTACGCTAGAGACTTAGGAAGGGGAATAATAAGAGGAAATAATGAGAATTAATCTTGTATTTGTTGTGCAGTGAATTCCATCCATATCACTTTGACGTATCGAGTGAGTGTGTGAACATAATTTAAGGATATCTCTTTGATAATTTTTCTATATAAAAATCCTTTTATAATGTAAGCTATTAGTTTAATTCTCCCAAAAAGGCAATCATTTTTCTAAAAATTCTCGTATATATAACATTTGCGTAGATAATGCAAGCAAAGACAAGTTTGTTTATTGGTCATTGGTGAAGGTATTTGAATTTGTTAAGGTGATGCTTAATCACTCATGATTCATAACGTACTTTTTGGTTGTATTTTTGTTCGAAGAAACTTTGAGTTATACTTATATGGTATAAGATCTAAAGATCACTTTCCCACTTTACAACTCCATGAAATGTCTGTCTCATTGGCACTAGGTTTTAAATTCTAAGAAGAATTACATGTACCTTCCTTTACTTTTCTCTTTCTCTTACTTGTCTCCTTTTACATTTCAGATGTACAAGATTCTCCCTTCTATTAGTTGTTATGTATAGGTTCAAACAATAAATAATAGTTTTTCACTTGTCAAAAGGAAAATAATATAAGAGATTGCTATTTGCTAAATTATATACTCCATCCATTCAATTTTAGTTATCCACTTTTAACTTTGCATTCCCTTTTAGAAAAATAAAATATGTATTTACAGTTTACCGATAAGAATGATAACATTTCAAAAAGTCATGGGGAATGAGTAGTTAATGATAAGGATAAAATAGACAGAAAAAAGAAAGATTGTCTTTCTCTTGATTTGTTAAAATAAAAATATATTTTGATATAGTAAGCAAATAAAAGTGACGGAGGGAGTACCACTTAAAAGAAAAAAGAAAACTAACGATCTTTTAATTTTCAAGAAATCGCTTGCTTTTTTTTTTTAGGTATATACACATAAAAGGGTATCCACCTAAAAGTTGACGTTACATTTTAGGAACATTTACCTATCTATACTGCATTATAAACTTTTTTACCCCTCCTAAAGAGATTATCACATAATACATTAGAATATTTAATTTATCATTTTATATACAAAATAATGTACTAGACTCCAATTTTACTCAATTTTCTTTCCTCTTTTTCCTCCCTTCGCGAAGTGGGAAACATTGGGAAGGTAAGCGAGCTTTGCTTGCCAGATTCTGCCTTCAGCAAATGCATCCAGATTTATGCTGCTATGGGTTTAAGCTATCCGCGAGTAATTATGGCTTATAATTTATGTGGAAATGATGTGGAATTATTGGAGAATCTCACCTTTTGTCGGGTGACTTTCACTCATTTATTTACTTAAATGTTATTTATTGTTGCTATCTTTCATATTCTTGAATCATTCATTACACCATTATTGCTATCATTTATTTCTATTCAACAACACACGCTGGATATTAAATACACTTGGGCTATCTTTTGGATATTAATATCGACTAAGATTAACTCTATTTTATTATAAATTTGATTGTACAAACCTAGATCTAAATTTTGGGTCATACAGTTTAGCACCGTCTGTGGAGATTTCTCAGTCAAGTTTTTTTGCTTCCATTGGATCTATAATTCATGTGGCCTGCTAATCTAACAAACCACAAAAGATTATCTGTTTTTTCTGTGTATACAAAAAAACTCCATGGCAGATAACCAAGGAAATGGAACGAAAGCAACAGACAACGTCCCACTCAACCTCCCACTCAAGCTCATGAGTTCCATCAACGAAGAGTATGATACCCAAGATGAAGACGTGACTCCCACGGCCTCTCACAGACGAGGGAAGTCGCCTACTCCTTTCTGCAGCACAACCAAACCAAATGGGAAAGGAGCCTCACGTCCAAGGAAGAAGGAGCACCACCCGCTGTAAAAAAGCTCCTCGAAGCGCGGCTGACTAACACTCTAGTCAGCATGATCAATAAACAAGCCTCGTGCACGACCACAGAAACCACCAGAGTCCATGCGACACAGAACATGAATGAACAGGACGACCAACCGAACCCTCCAATTTCAAGTAACACTCACATGATTACTAACAGTGCATGTGATATCGTCC